TCCCTGCTCCTGGTAACACACTCTGGGCTACTCTCGGGGTCATGGTCCCAGCTAATTAATTGTCTCTGTGTCCTGCCTGGGGCAAAAGAAACTATAAAAATTTTATGCAACCCGAGGAATGAGCAATGCCTTGCTTCTTGATGTGTGTGTGTGTGTGTGTGTGTGCGCGCGCGTCATTAACAAACCCTTTCAGATTCAAACAGACCGCTTCCTTCTAGTTCCAGTGGGTTTCCATGACCTTTCCAGAATTTTCCACCGTCAGTCTCTGTTTCTGTGTTGCATATGCTCTGTTCTGGTGTCAAGATCACCATCTCCTACAGATTTGGCCCAGCTGGGCTCTGAGACATCCATGTGCCCAGTACGCCCACCTTAACACCTCCCGGGGCCCTGCATCCCAGGGGTGTCCACCTCATACCTGACCTGCGAGGGTGAGAGTTGGCCTCACGTCACACGGCCACCCTGTAGTCGCTCTTCCCGAAAGCCTGGGTGATTTGACCCCACCCACCCAACTCAGCGGCTACCATGGGAGACAAAGTTCCCAGTCACGCGCTCAGCGTAAAGTGGAGGGGTTTCTTCTGTAAGGCAAACACCAGGCAGCCACCCTGCTTCAGGTGCAACCATTCTGGGGCCCTCAATCCCTGGAAGCTCACAGCCCAGGGGCTCGCATGCTGGCTGGGCAGCAAGGATCAACCCCACCCGTCCAAAGTAGAGATCAAGAAAACTGACCGGAAATGGCCACTGGAGCCTGGGACTCCTAAAACTCTCAGGAACAATGAGCAGGCTTGGGCCAACCTGTTACTCTCTTTTACTTTGTTTCTCTCGCACACTCAGGGCACAAGACTCTTTGGTACCCGTTCTGTGCATCTTCTCCCAGTCAAGGCAGAGGGGAGCTTGCTCTTGCCTGGCTCCTCTCCCAGCACAAAGCACACGCAGCCCAACTCTATGTCCCCATGCCCCTCCCATGTCAAACAGAACACGGTAACCCCTGGGAAGGCATGGGGGCAGGGACCGCATGTCCTGTCTCTGTGTCGCCTTGCATGGCGCCTGGCGTGGAATAAGTGCCCCATAAATATTGATTCAACCCAAACCAGAGCAATCCAACCACTGCCATCAGAAAAACCAAATAAACAAAACCCTACTTGCCGAGGATATGTGGATTTCTAATAAGGAAACAGAAACTTGACTGTACAGACAATTGTGGGTTTGGAAAAGGGGGCACAAAGGGTTAACCTGTTTGTGGTTTATAAGACTGGGGTTGTCACCAGCAGTCCTAGGGACTTCCCTTGTGGGCCTCGTGTTGTTACATGAAAGGGAAGGAGTGGGCAGAAAGATTTCTAAGGTCTTGCTCAGCTCCTAGACACACACACGGGGACACAGGCCAGGCCTCCTGTCCCCTCCCACACCATCTGGGAGTCCCTGGAGTAGGTGTCAGACCACAGACCCTAAAACTTCTAGGCCACCTTTCAAAATGTCACGGCAAGAGAACTGCTGGACAAAGGACTTGGTTGGTGACTGTGCTGGGGAAGGCCCCATGGGTCCTGGGCCCAGGGTGGTGGGCCACCTGCCTCCCCGTGTGGGGCGGTGACACCCCTGGAGGCAGAGGCTAACTCTGTGCAAAATGGATGAGGCGGGGGCTGCCTTCACCAAGCGAGACTTTCTCGGCCCCAAAGTCCAAGTTGGCACAACTCCGGGGCCTCTTGGTGTGCAGTCAAAGAAACTGAGACCCAGAGCTCAGGAATATTTGGGTGCAAAGCAGGGCCCAGGTAGGTCTGGGCTCTCCTGTCACAAAATTCAGAGCCAGGGAGAGCCCCCAGAGCCTCCGGTCTCTAAGAGGGAGACAGAGCTGAACAAAGCTGCACGAAGCAGCCTTATCCTGCAGCGCCTTGCGAGCAGGCCAGCTCCGCCGTGGGCCTGGGCTGTGTGTGCTCGCGCGCATATAGCACTCACTGGAAGGCACTGCAAGAACAAGATGGACGATGCCTTTTATTTGTATCTTTCTTGATTGTTTTCTGCAAAGCAGCTTGGGGTGAAGGTGAAGGTTAGATTCCATAGGGCAAAGCTTGATCTAACTAGCAGTCCTTTAAGTCAGCAGCCTACACAGGAACTGACTCAAGCCGAGGTCAACGGCCCAGATAGTCATATATCGGAGAGGTTCCTTCCTGGGGGCGGCAGACCGCTGTTCTCCCTCTCCCTAGTGGTGTGGGAGGTTGGGCGCTGCTTAGTAGGGGAGACAGAGACCTACCTGGCAGGGAGTCCCATGGAGACCCAGGATCCAGAAGGACCCCTCCCTTGTAGACCCACAGATGGATCCAATGCCCCACACCGGGGGGCCCAGCGACAGCCAGTTCTGGGAGGTGCCAGGGCTTCAGCCCAAGGAAGCAGGCAGACTGAGCGTGCACGTGGGACACGGCCTGGTCTACAACGGCAGAAGTCGGCTTCCGCCTGCCACTGCCCAGCTGCAAGGAAGCCCTCCACCCGCGGTGACAGCAACACTTCCTGTTTTTCTCTGTCACCCCAGGGCTCAGGTGGCTGGGTGCTGTGGCCTGCTCAGCCGAGGGCCTGGCCCTGCCTGGACAGTGCCATCCAAACAGCCAGTGTCAGGGCCTCCGGGACTTGGGACAGGCAGGGAAAAGGCATCTGCCATTCAGTATTTCATCTGTGTATTCAGAAAAAGAAAAAAAAAAAAAAAACCACGATGGAACTCTTTTGCCTGGACTCAAAGTCCAGGCACTCACATGTATACAGCCATGAAAGCAAGGGGCTTTAAAAGTTCATGGAGGGACAGGCATTCAGCCAGTTAAGGTGCCTGCTGGGAATGCCCAGGTTCAAGCATGGGCTCAGCTCCTTCTCCTAGCTTCCTGATAAGGTGGACTCCAGGAGGTAGCAGGTGGCTCAAGTAGTTGGGTCCCTGCCACCCACATGGGAGACCTGTACCTGTTCCCGGCTCCTAGCTTCAGCCTGGCCAGGTTCTGGCCTTTGGGGGCATTTGGGGCAAGAACCAGTGGATAAGCACGCTCTTTCCTTCTCAATACATAATTTCCATGAAAAATTCACATTATATTTTCATTGCGCTTTTCCATGAGCGTTGTGGAGCCCTAGGCCTTCAAACACATACATGGCATCGGCTCTGCAGAACAGATGTTGGGGACGGATGGTAACGAAGCCAGCGGAAGGAGAGTGAGTCTTACAGGCTGGGTCTCCTGCTCCAGGTGGAGACAAGAGGCAGAGGACGGAGGGGCGCCCACTTGTCAGCCCGCCCTGGACAGAGGCAGGGGCCAAAGCATGGTCGTTACAGCCACCCAGGAGATATGAGAAAATGGCCCGAGCTTTGAGGTTTGGGACAGGCAGGGGCGCGTCGGAAGCACTCTTAGCACCGCAGGCGCGCAGCCTCGGGCGCCCCAAGCCCACCGCGGGGCGGAGCGGCACCGTCCACGACAGCCGGCAGGGGGCAGTGCACCTTGCCTTCTCGAACCTAAGATGCTCACCGGTAAAAAAAAAAAAACCAAGGGCTCCGCCCGCCGCTTCCAGTAACAGGCCCGGGAGCTGCGCCCGGCGCGGCACATAGTAGGTGCTTAGGGAACTCCAGACGCCGAGCAAGGGAACGCGGGAAGCGAAAGGGCACAAGGCGGCGTCCCGGCCCCAGCACGCGCGCGCACTCAGCCGCAGAGCTGGGGTGGGCGATCGCTGTGTCCCCGGGGAGCCTTCTCAGCACCGGGCGCCCGGGCCGCGGGACCCGCCGGAGGCGAACCCGAGAGAGGCGGAGGCCCCGGCGACTGCTTGTCACTGTCCTCAGGGTCACGGCTGCCTCCCTCTGCGGGACGCGCCGGGCCCGCGAGACGCAGTGGCCGGCCCAGCCCCCAGCCACGCGAGCGCTTCTGGGCGCGCACTAGTCCGCCTGGGGAGCGCACACCGAAGCACCGCGCGTGGAAAGACCCCGCTCAGGGCCCCGGACGAGCCGGGCCTGGATGACCCGGACACCCTTCCCTTCCGGGGCCCCCGCCGCCAGGCAGGGCGAAGGCGCGCTCCGGCTGATGATGCCAAGCTGGGGCGCAGCCTCAACCTCCATCTCAAGTTCGGCCGCGCTTCCTCCCGCAAGGTCACGCTCAAACACTCACGGGTGGAGAAAGGAGGAGCCGAAAGTTGCGCCACTGTCCCGGTTCCGAACTAGCTGTGCCCACTCTGGGGCGCCGCGCCCCGCTGTAGCCGCTCTGCGCCCGCCTTGCGCTCCTGGAAAAGGCAGCCCCTGCCCCGGCCCCGGGAGGTCGCACACGCAGGAGGCGCGGACAAGTTGCTAACTTTTGTCCGATTATGCCTCGGCAGCTGCGGCGCCTAACGGCGTTGGCCGGACTCGGAGTTTCGCGTAGCCGCCAACGCCGCCACCCGAATCCCCCGCGGCCCGCCACGCCGCCGGCAGCTGCCGGGTCCCGGCGCCAACTTCTCCCCAGATCCGGAGCGGCGCGGGCTGGAGGCGTCCCCGGGGCCTGCTGCCTCCCGGGTCTGCGCCTGCTCGCAGCGGACTGGGGGATTCGGTCCGGACCGCGGTCCTGATCGCCAGCGGCCTCCGGCGCGCCACGAAGTGTCCCGGCCAGCGCGACCCCGGCTCCGTTCCAGAGTGCCTGAGCCCCGCCACCCCCTGGGGTCTCCTCCTACAGGGCGGCCCGGGTCGGGGAGATCTCGGCCGGGTGCCGGCTGCAGTGTCACTGGGGCCGCCCCGGGCACCGGCTCCCCACCCGTGTGCGTTCCTCCGGTGACGGCTTAAGACCCCTGTCCTGAGCCTCCTTCCAGACCCTCCTCGCCTACAGATCCTGGCGGTCGCCCCGGCTAGGCAGGGGTCTCCCTAGGTGACACGTCCCCTGTCACACCCACCCAGCCCTCTCCTGACCCCTCCGTCCCCAGGGCGCCTCCACTGGGACAACACACACCGAACCGCGCGAGCCCCAAGTCGGGCGGACGCAGACCCTGCGCGCCCCGAGGCGGTTCGGCCCCGCGCGCACACTCACCGCGGCTGCAGACCCGCTGGAGTTTTCTCGGCTGGGGCGTGCTGGGGTCCGAGGAGAGTGCCAGGGGCGTGGCGTCCCGAACCCGCGCCCCCTCCTCGGCTCACATCGCCTCCCGCTGCTCCCTCTCCGGCGGCTGCCGCTGCTCCAGGTCTCTTTGTCTTTGCAAAGTGTCGAAACTGTCTGGCATAGTGGGCTCCGCCGGCCGAGGCTGGAGCGGGGAGGCGGGGAGAGGGTGGAGCGGTCTCGGGAACACCTTCCCCCAAGTGTAACGGGAGTGGGAGGCGGGGCGATCGGCGAGGGGCCGCCTCCCCCGGCCGGCCGGGCTGGCAGCCCGGGTGCACCAGCCCGGCCGCCGCCTCCGCGGCGCGCGGCCCTCCCCGCCTCCGCCCCGCGCCCCCGCCCTCCCGGCCTCGGCTCGGCTTTCCCCCCGGCGCGGGGCTTCCTGCGAGCCGAGGACGGCTTGGCCGAGCCACGTGGACCGCGGCGTGTCTGGCAGAGGCCGGGCTGGGGAGACGGCGGTGGCGAGGCGGGGACCCGGTCGCCGCCCCGAGAGGGGCCCTGCGGGGACAGCTGCGCGAGGGCCGGCGCCCGCGAGCAGGGCCGGGGAAGATGGCCCGGGGGCGCGTGGGGTCAGCTCGGGGGACGAGGCGACGGGCGCGCACGGGGAAGACGTGAGTCTGGGGGCACGGAGGCGAGAAGGGGCCGGTCCTCAAGCCGGCGACCCGGCGGAGCCGCCGACTGTCCCGGGACTCGAGGTGGGCTTCAGGGCGGGGAAATGGGAGGCCGCGGCGGGGCTGGGGGGCTGGTGTGCGGGGCACGGCGGCTCGGCCCGCCCGGATGCCGGGGCTGCGGCGCGCTCCGGAGCCCGGCGACGAGTCCGCAGTGGGAAGCCAGGCCTGAGGCTGGGGCTTGGGGATCCGGTTCGCGTTGCAAGCGGGGGCGGTGGGCCCTTCTTTCGCCGAATCGCAGAGCTCCGAGGCCCAGAGCCCAACGCCCGACTTAAGAAGCGTTTTTTGAAAATGTGGTTTTACGGCGGGGACTGCGTGTTCTGCCACTTTGCCGTGGCGAGTTGAGAGCCAAGAGGCGCAGCTTGGCCGGGGAGTCAGTTCCTGCTGTGGCCCCTTTGCTCCTGCAGAGACGGCCAGCGGCCAGCGGCCAGCCATCCAGGGCTGCGTGGGCCGGCCTCGCCTGCTTGGTTCCAGTCCACTCGGCCGCTTCCTGGGCCTCCCTTCTGTGTGAGGGAACCTTGTGTGTCTGGGTAGGCAGTTGTGGTGAGGAAGTGGTTTGTACATGTGCAACCCTTAGAACTGTGCTGGGTCTGCAGATGGCCCAACCTACAGAATGGGGAAGACTTGGGGGACAAGAATTGAGGTGTCCAGAGAGGAGAGAGGTGGGAGAGAGCCAGGTTAAAAGTGTGTGGGGATGGGGGAAGGGGAGGAGTGAGAAAATCAGCCGCTGGGCCAAAGCCACACTGGGGGCGGGGCGAGGGCTAAAAGCCCCCACAAAGCAATAAAAGACCAACAAGCACAGGGACCTGCAAGCTGCTGCGGATCCCGGCCAAGCTGCACTGGGGGGGGGGGCGACCCCGACCCCAACCTTGACAGCACTTCCTGCCCTGCAGGAGGCTGAGAGAGCAGTTTTGTTTCCGGACCTACCCTGAGACCTCTTGCCTCCCTGGGTGGCATTTGGATGCCAGAGAAGCTATGAGCCTTTGGCCAGCCAGGAAGCCACCCCAGCTCACCCCACCCTACCCCTTGGGCTTTGCTATTTCTGGTACTCCAGGCCTCTTAGAATGCTTGTGTGGGGGGCAGGGAGGGAGTAGCAGAGGGTTCTGGTAGAATCTGCAGCTGTCCTGTCTCTCAGACACCTGCAGGTCCGACTTCCGGTCTGAAACAGCCTGCTGGGTCACCCTGCTGACTGCTGGGCCGAACTGCATCTCGGGACTGCTGGCCTCTCGGTTCCGCTGGAAGCTTGCTGTGGGTAGGCTTGCTGTGGGTGTGCTTCCGGCTGACTGCAGCACCTGCCTTGCTGAGTTACCTAGTAGTTGGTCCATGAAGAGTTAGTTGATTGATTTACAAAAGTGTTGTTTCTGGCTGGGATCAGATAATGTGACGACTGGGAAGACACTTTGGAAAGGCTAAGAGGCCTTTTGTTTTGTTTTGTTTTTTTGACAGGCAGAGTGGACAGTGAGAGAGAGAGACAGAGAGAAAGGTCTTCCTTTGCCGTTGGTTCACCCTCCAATGGCCGCCGCGGCCGGCGCACCAAGCTGATCCGATGGCAGGAGCCAGGTGCTTCTCCTGGTCTCCCATGGGGTGCAGGGCCCAAGCACTTGGGCCATCCTCCACTGCCTTCCCAGGCCACAGCAGAGAGCTGGCCTGGAAGAGGGGCAACCGGGACAGAATCCGGCGCCCCAGCCGGGACTAGAACCCGGTGTGCCGGCACCGCTAGGTGGAGGATTTAGCCTAGTGAGCCGCGGCGCCGGCCCAAGAGGCTTTGTTAATAGAAGACTGTACCACTATGTCCTAGCGGATTACATGGGAGAGGGTCACGCCGGCAAGAAAGTAGCCCCACGTGGCACAGCTGCTCCACTTTGTAGCCATGCACCCACACCAGCTCGGTTTGAACCCTGAGTTCCCTGACGCTATGGTCGGATGCGCGGAAGGCATTCCCTTGTCTGTATAACGGGCCTTGCCGCACACACATCTGTTTCCAGGCTCCTGGTTCACCCCGGCCTTTGCGTGTCACCCCCACTTCCGGTCTGTTGAAGCACCTTGCCCAGGTCGCAGGCTGGACTTGTGACATGCCGGGTGAACAACACTGCTGGCACTGTGGACTGCCGCAGGCGCCGAGACCCAGGGCCGTGGGAGAGGTGTGTGTGTGCGTTCCTCACCATCCCCCCGAGTGTGCCCCAGCCTGCCTTGCACTCATCCCCGGTGGGGGGGGCGTGTGCATGGTGGGTTCCCCTCCCCCCACCCCAGGGGGTGGGTGGGGGGTATTGGCACTGGTTTCATGTTCACCTCCATTCCCCTCAGGGTCAGAGTGCCAGCGCAGAGTGAGGACCTCGGCCACTCCCTCCCTATTTTGTGAACACATCAGAGAGGGCGGGTCCTCACGGGGCCTGGTCCCCTTGGAGTGACCATCAACAGTGAGGTTCAGAGGCGCTGGACATGCACGTGGGGCAGGTGCTTTGCTTAGGGCTCAGGAGCCGTGAGCGACTCTCCCAGGTTTCCTCAGAGGGAGGAGGCTGCCTGCAAGGATGCGCAGACAGAAGCGGCAAAGGGGGAGCCAGGAGGGGGGAGCGTCTCTGTCCCCACGTTCTGTGCTCACGTTTGGGTGCCCGCGGACCACCTCGTGCAAGGAGAGCTCTAGGAAGGCAATGCAGGACACGCGGCCCTTCGTCTTCCTCCAGCCCCGAGCCTCTGGGAGGGCACTTGAGGGAGCGGAAGGATTCAGAACAATCTACATTGTTGACGTGTCCCATCTCGTGCTGCACAAATGGTGGCGGCTACAGCGGATCACCCAGGCTGGGTGATAGCATCTGGGTCCGTGTGAGTCCTTGGTGACGAAATCACCTAGCAACGCGTTTCCCAGCACACGTATCCCTGTTGTTAAGCAATGCAGTGCTAGACTCCGATGCATAAACCTCAGGGTGTGTGTGTGTGTGTGTTTTCCACCAAAGTTAACTTCACTGTCAGTTGCATTCCTCTGAACTTTTTGACGTCCGCTTGCCGTCGACTCCAGTGTCCGTGCCTGGCCAGCTGGTGAGTCTTGGTTCGTTGTGACCACCCTCATCTCTTTGTCAGAAACTGGCTCAGGAATGAGTATATGGAAGGCCTGTTTCCATCAAGATGAAGAGAGAGATATACATGAGTTTTACTGGAAAACGTTCTCAAGCGTAAACCCTGGAAAACTCATTTCCAAGTGGGCGTCAGCCAGAAAATATTTGGAGCAGTTCCTCAAGGAGACTTATTAGGCTCATGAAAGAAGCCCTGTGGAACACAAGTCGATCAGAGCCCTGATCGCGCCATACCTGAAGCCTACCTCTGGGCTTTCTGTTGCAAGAGTCAATACGACTCCTGTTTAAGCCACTTCAGGTCATAGCTCTGTAGCTTGCAGCCAAATACCTGGTAACGGACGTGTAGCTACAGCCAGATTCATTTCCTTGAAGTGCTGCTCTCTCTTCCCAAGTTCCTCCCGAGCTCACCACTTTTAAAATTGCAGTGGGGCCCCGTGCCTAGGGAAGCCAGTGCAGACTCTGAGTCTAGCAGGTGAAGTCCCACATGCCTGCCGGGGGTCCCAGTGTGTCCCTGTCACTCATTTGCTTTACAAGCCCTGGGTTAGCAGGCCTGCCTCAGGGCAGAAGCTCTGGGTAAGCTCCCTGTTACTAACAGCCTTGGAATCAACAGAGGCCTCGCTCTGCTCAGGCAGGAAGCCCGAGACCCGGCCTCCCAGGTGCTGTCGTAGCCGCCCGCCGTCCTGAGCTGCAGGACACGCAGTGAAGAACCGGGCCCCCTAAGCATGCTTGGCGCAAGGCCCGGCCCCCTGAGAGGCAGGAGGGGCCTCCAGCAAGTGTGCGAGGAAGAGAATAAAGGGGCAGGCGTTGTGGGGCAGCGGTGGACTCTGCCTGGGATCCAGCCCCACCTGGAGCTCCTGGCAGGCAGCAGGTAGTGGCCCAGGAGCTCGGTGCCTGCCACCCATGCGGGAAACTCCTGGCTTTGGCCTGGCCCAGCCCCGACTGTTGCGGGCATTTGGGGACTGAACCAGGATACGGAATATCTCTCCCTCTTTGTCCCTCTTTCTCTCACCCGTCCTCGCTGTCACTCTGCCTTGCAAATAAATAAATAAATAAGCCATGTTTTTGAAGAAAGAAAATGGAGTTAAAAGATATGTTTATTTTGGTGCGAAAGCAAATTCTGGAATGCATTTTTTTTTCCAAACACACAATTCCCTTGACCACTTTAAAGTGCCCTCATGTGAGTGTTGCAGCGCAGCCACGCATGACCACACGCTGGGGCCCACCTGCTTGACCCCCGCTTCCAGTGCTGCGTCCCGTGCCAGAACACTGGTGCTCGTCCACTTCGGCTCCGGCTCCCTGCTAATGCCCCTGGGAAAGCAGCAGATGGTGGCCCAAGTCCTTGGGCCCCTGTCACCCACGTGGGAGGCCAGAGGGAGTTCCTGGCTCCTGCTTTCAGCCTGGCCCAGCCCCACATGGTGCAGCCCGTGGGGAGTG